TACGGTCAATAGTCAATGGTACTTTCTATAACCAGAGCCAAGGGCTTAGGAAAACCTCATCAGTACTGAAAACACACACCAGGATGACTTGGAAAAGAAGAAATAAGTGACCAAAGGTAATTTGTGGCTTCTCTTGCAGAAACTTGCTCTTGAAATCACATTAAGGTTAATAAGCTTGTTTAGGGAACACATACAGCAGAACAGGAGAAGAAATGCTTTACAAATCTTGAATGTTATTGATATATTTTGATTAAATCAAAAGAATAAAATATGGAACCCTTAGATCCGGAGACTGGAGATGTGGACAGACAAGACAGATATTTCTACAAACTGGGCCACCACACACAATGCTCCCTCTAAGCTGTGGAGTCTTGTGAGCAAACATTCTTCTATGTGAATTACTGGCATTAAAGTTGTGAGCGAGTGATTTGGCTACTGCATGAACTTTTTTGCTCTGGAGCCATCCTTCCTGAGCTAAGACAAAAATGTGTGAACCGAAAGCTAAAAACTGTGAGCTTGCTCAGACTAACTCAACGCAGAGTGAACGTTGACCACACAGTATTGTCTGCCTTCAAGCTCTGGCTGAGATAGTCTACGGTGCCCTTGAGACGGCTGCTCCAGCCTTTGAGGTCCATGATGCCTTTCCTCTCCTCCTCCCACAGCCTCACTCACTCCAAGACGCTTTCTTTTTCAGGCGATGTAAGATTCCAAATGTGGGAGGAGCTCCATTCTTTCTTCTACCCCACATGAAAGGGTGCCCTGAAACGAAAGACTGGCAAAGGAAGATACCACTCCCCTCCCTTCTCTTCTGTGATCATAACAGAAAAGCTCCTTACCCAGAGAGGCCTCGGTCTCAAAAATTTCCTCCGTAACGTCCCAGTAGAGTTTTCTTTGGCCTGGATTGAGAAGAGCCCATTCTTCCTCCGTGAAGAACACGGCTACCTCCTCAAAGGACATCGGGGATCTCTGAAAGAGGGAAATACGGCAAGGAAAATAGCATTCGTTTATTTTTCAGACGGCCCGCTATTATATACTGAACATTTCCAAGAAATATTAACTCAGACAACTGCAAAGAACTGGGCTTCTCTCGGGTCGAAGCCAGTTAAATGTGGGTGGTGGTGGAATAATTTATTTTTTTTTTTATTTAAGCATTTATATCCCGCCCTCCCCGTGAGTGGGCTCAGCGCGGCTTACAAAGAGCAACAGTGTGGACATCAACTGCCCTCATTAGAGCCAAGCTGTCTTTCATTCTGTTTTTTTCCCCCTAACAAACCAAAGGCCGATCCGCCCCGGGCCGCGTGATCATTGGGGCTTGTTGGGTGAAAGACACAGGGGGGGGGGAAACACCCAGCAGCGGCCTCAGATACCTCTCTGGACATTTCTGCATCGTGGGATACCGGCCGTTTGTGCCTTGAGTCCTTGAGCTGCAATTCAGCAGCTGCATCCTCTGAACAGATTTTGGACTTCTGTCAGAGAAATACGTTAAGGCAAAGATAAACGTGTGTGTGTGTGTGTGTGTGTGTGTGTGTGTGTGTGTGTGTATGAGGGAGAGTGTGTGTGGGGGTGTCAGGTCACTTCTGAGTTACGGGGATCCTACGAAAATGTTCTCTCCTTAAGATCTTGCAAACTGAGGGCCTTTGTGGCTTCTTTGACTGGGTCAACCCATCGCATCTTGGCTCTTCCTCTTCTCCTAGCCTTATTGTCTTTCTCAGTGACTCTTGTCTTTTCAGGATGTGACCAAAGTCCAATATCCTGGTCACCAGCAACACACCCCTCGCCCTGGAGAACCCTTAGTCTCCCTCTCCTCCTCCCGGCCACCCCTCCCTCTCTCACTCTTGCTCATGCCCATTTCCTCTCCTCCCCTATTGTTGCCCAGACGCTGTGGGTGAAAGCCTAAACTCACCTTCCCTGCAGACAAGCAAAGGCCAGATTCTCCCTCCAGGCAGGAGAAGCAAGAAAGAAGAGAGGCCCCGGGGAACGGCAGGTCGTCCCATGAATGTTCATCTCCATCTTGCGGGAAAACGGTGCCCTGGACACCTGGGAAAGGCAGGTCTGGTCTCTCCGGTGCTCGCAAGTCCTTCTGGGAAATGTAGTCCCCTGCAACAGCAACAACCCACAGAGGATGCGCAAAAGTGAGGTCTTTTGGAATGTGGAAAGATGCTTTCACTGCTACTTGGTTGTTCCGTGGGGCTCCTCCCCGTGTGTTTGAATCAATCTCCCTTCTTGCTTTATCAAGCCCGCCCCTTCCGTGATCTCTGTCCTCTTCAGGCTCAATACAAGACTTACCTCACAGCGGCGACCTGAAGGCTTCACACGTCCTACCCTGAGAATATCTTGTCATAAGAACATAAGAGACGCCAATGTTGGATCAGGCCAAAGTCCCATCCAGTCCAACACTCTGTGTCACACAGTGGCCAGAAATACCAGTGCCATCAGGAGGTCCAGCAGTGGGGCCAGGACATTAGAAGCCCTCCCACTGTTGACCCCCCCCCAAGCACCAAGAAGACAGAGCATCACTTGCCCCAGAGCCCCTATCTATACCTTGTGGCTAATAGCCACTGATGGACCTCTGCTCCATATGCTTATCTAATTCCCTTTTGAAGCCGTCCATGCTTGTAGCCGTCACCACTTCCTGTGGCAGTGAATTCCATGTGTCAATCACTCTTTGGGTGAAGAAGGATTTCCTTTTATCTGTTCTAACCCTACTGCTCAGCAATTTCACAGAGTGCCCACAAGGAGTTCTTGTATTGTGAGAAAGGGAGAAAAGTACCTCTTTCTCTACCTGCTGTATCCCATGCATAATCTTATAAACCTCGATCATGTCACCCCTCAGCCGTTGTTTCTCCAAGCTAAAGAGCCCCAAGCATTTTAACCTGTTTTCATAGGGAAAGTGTTCCAACCCTTTAATCATTCGAGTTGCCCTTTTCTGCACTTTTTCCAAAGCTATAATATCCATTTTAAGGTGTGGTGACCAGAACTGCACACAGTATTCCAAATGAGGTCGCACCACTGATTTATAGAGGGGCATTATGATATTCCCTGAGAGGAAGTCTTATACCACAAGAAGAAGAAGGAAAGAGGCTCAAAAAGAGGCTCAAAGGAAGACGCCACCCCCCCCACCCTTCTCTTACGTGTCCAAAATGAAAAGGGGGAAAAAGGCTTACTCAGACAGGCCACGGTATCACAGTTTTCCTCCATCACTTCCCAGAAGAGTTTCCTCTGGCCTGGATCCAGCAGAGCCCATTCCTCCTCCGTGAAGAACATGGCGACCTTCTTCTTCTTCTTCTTCTAAGGACACCTCTGGGGGTCTCTGAAAGAGGAAAACATGCCCCACTTGAACACCTGTTCCTGCCCCCGAGATCTCAAGAAGAAAAGAAAGGATTCCATCACCCACTCCGTTCATTAAAAGAATGCAGAACCGATGGACAAGAAAAACTGTATTAGGTTCGAGGTTTTTTTAAGCCTCTAACAGTTATAATATCCTGAAAGCCTCTGAGGAATACAAATTCAGAAAACTGCACAAAATTGGGCTCCTCTTGGTCCAGTCCAATTACACTGGAAAGAAAGAGCCTTGACGGACTGCATGGCACCCTCTACAATACTATCTTGCACGGTTTTAATCCCCCCAAAACCATGAACATTGTGATTCTGGAGAAGGTTTCTTGCTTTAAACTCCCCCCCCCCCCCCCCCGGCTTCCGCGTTCACCCAAAACTCTTTACACAACACTATCACGGGGACCAATTGAGCTGGTCATATAGTTGGGTGGATTTTCCCCCCTAACAAACCCCGAGGCCTGCTCACTCCAGGCTGTGTGATCCTCGGGGTTCCTTCCCGGGTGAGAGAGAGGCCGGGAACAGAACAGCCCCCACAAAGGGGGGGGGGGGGGGCTTAGCGACCTTTCCGGTATTCTGCGCGGTGGGATGAGGCCGGTTTGCACAAGCAATGCCCTTGAACTGCAAGGAAGCTATTGCACTGTTATGTATCAAGCTCTGACCGCATGCACAGCTTGGTCGCCACGTGGTCATGCGAAGCGGCTGAGCTTCAAGGAACAATGGGCCAAACAGATCCTAGCTCGCTCCAATCGGAGGGCTAGACTCCAGGCCGAGAGCCTCTGGAACTCTCGGCCACTGTAACTTGTGTGTGTGTGGGGGGGTGTTTTGGGTGTGGGTTGTTTGCCTTTATAAACCGGCCTGCGAGCCGGAAATTCAGTCCCAAGAGCAAAAGATAGCCAAACGCCTGGGGGGGGGGGTTCCCCCCCCTGCAGCCTGCAAAAAAGAACCCTGCGAGGTCAGCAGCAAGCACGGCGAAGGGACGCTGCCGGATCAGACTGGGGGTCCGCCCAAGATTTAAGGGACACGACCTGTTGCAGGGAACACATCCAAGGGGCTGGAGAGGAAAAGCGCACGCCCGGCGGCGCACGGCCCCACCTCGCCCGGGGAAGCTTCTCTCGCTCTCCCTCCCTCCGGCCGCCTGGTCCTCTTTCGCCGGCCTCCGAAGCGCCTCTCCTCTCCCCCTCCCCTGATCTTGCCAAAGGAAGCGCCCTTTTAGGACATCCTCCTCCACCCACCTTCCCTGCAGGCGCGCAAAATCCGGAGTCTCCCTCCAGCCACGGGGGGAGGAAGGGGAGAGGCGCTGCCGCCGCGCTCTGAGTCTCCCAAATGCGCTTCCCCGACCCAATCCTTTACTCCCCCCCCAACTTGAACAACTCCTGGGAAAGTCCAGGGTCCACCTCTCGGGTGCTCGCAAGGCCTTTGGGGGAATGGAGTTCCCTGCAGCGACCAGCCCCAGGTGGAAGGAGACTTTGGCCAAACTTCTAGGACGCAGCAGCAGTTATCGTTATACACACACACACCTAGTAAATACTGGGTTCAAGACGCATTGCAGAGAAACAGCTCTGCTTTATTGAGTGATTTCAGGGACCAGACTGAACTCCAGGACAACAGCCCTGTTTAAATGGCATGCAAGCACCACACCCCGACTCCCAACATGTTGTTGTTGTTCAGCCGCACAGTCCAGTTGGACTCTTCAGGACCCCATGGACCAGATCAGCCAGGCCCTCCTGTCTTCCGCAGTCCTCTGAAGTTGGCTCAATTTCATGTTCGTTGCATCGATGACGCTGTCTAACCATCTCATCCTTTGCCATCCAACCATCTCATCCTTTGCCGTCCCCGTCTTCTTTGGCCTTCAATCTTTCCCAGCATCAGGGTCTTTTCCAGTGAGTGCTCCCTTCTCATTTGGTGGCCAAAGTATTTGAGCTTCATTTTCATTATCTGGCCTTCCAGGGAACAGTCAGGGTTGATTTCTTTTAGGATTGACTGATTTGATCTTTTTGCAGTCCAAGGGACTCTCAAGAGTCTTCTCCAGCACCATAGTTCAAAAGAATCTATTCTTCGGCGCTCGGCCTTCCTTATAGTCCAACTCTCGCAGCCATACATGACTACTGGGAATACCATTGCTTTGACCATGTGGACTTTTGTTGGCAGGGTGATGTCTCTACTTTTTATCATGCTGTTTAGGTTCGCCATCGCTTTCCTGCCAATGAGCAGGCGTCTTTTAATTTCATGGCCGCTGTCACAGTCTGCGGTGATCTGGGATCCCAGGAACGTGAAGTCTGTCACTACTTCCACGACTTCCCCTTCTATTTGCCAAGGAGTGATGGGGCCGGATGCCATGATCTTAGGTTTTTTTATGTTGAGCTTCAAGCCCACTTTTGCGCTTTCCTCTTTTACCCTGGGCAAGAGGCTCTTGAGGTCCTCTTCACTTTCTGCCATTAGAGTGGTATCGTCTGCATATCTGAGGTTGTTGATCTTTTCCCCAGCAATCTTAATTCATCCAAGCCAGCATTTCGCATGATGTACTCTGCATATATATTAAATAAGCAAGGTGACAATATACATCCTTGTCGTACTCCTTTTCCTACGCTAAACCAATCAGTTGTTCCATATCCAGTTCTAACTGTCGCTTCTTGATCCTTATACAGGTTTCTCAAGAGACATGTGAGGTGGTCTGGTACTCCCATCTCTTTAAGGATCTGCCATAGTTTGTTGTGATCCACTACATGTTGACATAAGGTTAATTTCTCATTTGTCACCTCCAGAGTCCTGGTGGGCTATTGTTATGGAGCAACAAGCTCAGTCCCTCTCTGGTAACTAGCTCTGGAATGTTCCAGTCTCAATACATAACAACACCCGGTTAATTTTTTTTTTTAAACAAGATGGATGCGAATTGGAACTACTGCACATCTTAAGTTTCCATTATTATAAAATGTACTGAAAACATAAAGAGGATTGTGGAAGTGTGTGTGTGTGTTTGTGTGTGTCTGGGAATAAAGACACTGCAGCTCCCACACAGAACCAGACTCTGTTGGACCACTCCCTCTTAGCTGTGGAGTCTTGTGAACAAAAATTCTACTTTGTGAGCCACTGGCCTTAAAGTTGTGAGCGAGCGATTTGGCTACTGCAGAAACTAGTTTGCTCTGGAGCCATCCTTCCTGAGCCAAGACAAAAATATGTGAGCTGGAGGCTAAAAATCTGTGAACGAGCTCACACTAACTCGACTTAGAGCAGGGGTGTCAAACGTGCAGCCTGGGGGTCGGATTAGGCCCCCAGAGGGCTTCTCTCAGGCCCGCAGTGGAGCTGGCTGTCTTCTGCTTCTTCTTCCAGTTCTGCTGCTGCTGCATCATCGTAGGTTTGCAGTTTACAGGTACACACCTGAACAGCATACTCAAGATTGCAATACTTTCAGAGCAAAAGGTGTCAGTTATCAGACACTGTTAAATAAACAGAATATTGCAGGAGTGCTAATGTTTTAAGCATGTTTTTGATTTAAGTTTTTAAAAATCCCTTTGTGTTTGTGTCATTTATAAGGTTTATATCTCTGCTACCTGGTGTTACATTTTATGACACACATGGCCAGGCCCAACATGGTCTCATTTATGTCAGATCTGGCCCTCATAACAAATGAGTTCGACACCCCCATCTTAGAGGGATCGAGCTGGGAAGCCATATTGCTCTGGAGCAACTGAACAAAGTTAGAGACCAGTGGCACCTTTAAGAACAAAGTTCTATTCAAGAGGTGAGCTTTCGTGTACGTGCACACTTCTTCAGACACTGAAATGGAATGACAGATCACAGTTGTATATACAGGTGGCTTGTTACATTTTGCATGCTTAGAGGGAACACTGTAATGTTCTGGAAGGTGACCCTGCTGCTGGACTCGTTGGACTTTGTCCTGCCGCTTCAGCCAAGCCCGGCTTCCCCCCCCCCAGCCAGTCCTTCTCCAGGGGTTCCTTGGGAAATGCCCAGAGACATAACCAGTCTTTCCACTGCTGCTCAGGCAGACCGCAGCAATGGGATCCCATTTCCCCCTCCAGGATGCTGCGGGTTCCGAGCCCCCCGGTGTCCCGGCCCCCCCCCCCCCAACTTTCCACAGAAGTCTGTCCCCCCACCAATCACGCATCGGGGAGTTTCAGTGAATGGCGTCACTCTTCCATACATTGGACACTATACTTCTGTTGATACAGCCCAACATCGCATTTGCCTTTTTAGCTACTACATCACTGCTGACACACGTTCAGTGTGTGGCCTACTAAGACCCCTAGATCCTTTTCACACATACTACTGCCAAGACAAGTCTCTCCCAACCAATGTTCCCTCTAAGCTGTGGAATCTTGTGAGCAAAAATTCTACTTTGTGAGCTACTGGCATTAAAGTTGTGAGCGAGCAATTTGGCTATGGCATAAATCAGTTTGCTTTGGAGCCCTCCTTCCTGAGCTAAGACAAAAATGTGCGAGCCGGAGGCTAAAAAACTGTGAGCTAGCTCACACTAACTCAGCTTAGAGGGAACACTGCTCCCAACCTATCATTATGCATTTGATTTTTCATACCGAAATGCATAACTTTACATTTATCTCCATTGAAATTCATTTTCTTTGTTTTCGCTCGGTTTTCCAGCCTGTCAAGATCATCCTGTGTCCTGACTCTGCCTTTTACCATATTTGTTACCCCTCCCAATTTAGTATTATCTGCAAATTGAATAAGCATTCCCTCTATCCCTTCATCCCTGCAAATTGAATAAGCATTCCCTCTATCCCTTCATCCAAATTATTGATAAAGATGTTGAGCAAAATAGGTCCCAGGACAGATCCTGAAGGCACTCCACTCGTCACTCCTCTCCAAGAGGATGAGGAACCATTAACAAACACTCTTTGGGTGCGATCTATCAGCCAGTTACAGATCTACCGAACAGTCATAGGATCCAAACCACATTTTACCAACTCGTCAACAAGAATATTATGTGAAATCGATAGACTATGTCTACTGCATTCCCCTGATCTAGCAAGGTAGTAACTTTCTCAAAAAAAAAAAAAAAGAGAGATAAGGTTAATATGACATGACTTGTTCTTGAGAAACCCGTGCTGGCTTTTCGTAATCACAATGTACAAAGACAAATATGGTCACAGTCCATAGACATGAAAAAAGAGCCACAGGAACTGTGTAAAGTGCGCTCAATGTTTCTTTAACAATAGTAATAATGTTATAAATATGAAAATTACAAAAATGACACTAATACACTCAAATTGTAAATCCTGTTATAGAAGATAACAAAGACGGCGGGACGGTGGTCTCCGGAATGTGATGCCGTTTCGACAACGTCTTCTTCTGACCAAGAATCTATAAGCTTATACATAATATAATACATATGAACATTAGTACTTACATCTTAGGTAATTGTACAACAAAATTTAAAATACATTTGGTACAAAACCTTACTGGATGATGTGTGGAAAGTTGCACTTCAATAGAAAAGCTGCCCAATTCACATGGAGTTCAATGACATTTTTCTAGAAAAACATAGCAAAACAGTTGCAAAACAGTGAAACCAGACAGGCTAACTACACATAATTATATAAAGCCAAAGCTTATACAAAAACCAAAGCAATTCAAACCTACTTACCACCTATTTCAATGCACTAATATTGGAGAAGATTTCTCTCAGATGAAGTAAAGCTTATGTGTTGACTAGTAAGTTCACACCATCATGGATTGCTCCAGAATCAACTTACATAAAAACTGAACAGTGATTCTGGAGCAATCCATGATGGTGTGAACTTACTATATGTTAGGAACCACAAACACCTTAGTTGGGCTTAGTTTCATTTATATAGTGTAGCATAGCTGGCGTTTGATCCCCACCTCGTGCACCTATCAAGCCAATGGTCTCTTACCTTATCCCCCCATCATAATATGTTAGGAACCACAAACACCTTAGTTGGGCTTAGTTTCATTTATATAGTGTAGCATAGCTGGCGTTTGATCCCCACCTCGTGCACCTATCAAGCCAATGGTCTCTTACCTTATCCCCCCATCATAATTCAAACAGAGACTCAAGTGTTGCAGCTAACAATTGGGGGGGGGACACCCCCCCAACTTCAAGTACAGAATGATGGGGTCTGAACTTGCTGAGACGGAGAGCGGAAAAGGTCGGAGTTGAGAGCCCAATGAAAGTGTCAGCCCAGTGTGCTGCAGCGGTGAAAGAGGCATACCCTGTGTTAGGGATTATTAGGAAATGGATTGATATTAAAACGGCCAATGTTGGAACGCTCCTCTATAGAACTATTGATACAGCCTCATTTGGAATACTGTGTACTGTTCTGGTCTCTTTATCTCCAAAAGGACATTGCACAGCCAGAAAACGCACGGAGGCGGGCAACCAAGCTGATGAGGGGTCTGGGGCCAGTGTCCCCTCTAAGCTGAGTTAGTGTGAGCTAGCTCATAGTTTTTTAGCCTCCGGCTCACACATTTTCGTCTTTGCTCAGGGAGGATGTGGCTCCAGAGCAAACTGATTCATGCAGCAGCCAAACCGCCCGCCCACCACTTTAATGCCGGTAGCTCACAAAGTAGAATTTTGACTCACTCCACAGCTTAAACATACCATTTTAAAAGGGGGGGGGGAGAGGAGGGGCTATAAATATTCTTAGCCCAGTAGTAATTTCATATACAAAGTTCAAATAATTGAATTATGTTGGGTATTGTACGGTTTTAACATTTTAAGATACCTTTTAGATTGTCCTTATATGTAAGGGACTGTGGAACCAAGATGTTGGCTCCATGCAAGTTTATGTTGTCTTTGTTTACGATGGTTAACCTCTTTATCTTTCCAAATAGTTTTAATGATATAATATGCCAGTATTATATCATTAAATCCTACGCATTTCGGCCTGCGTAGGCCTTCTTCAGAGGTCAAACACAGTGAGGAACATATTGGCTAATGTAATAGTACAGTACAATCATACAGATACAAAATATAAATACAAAAAGGACCAGAAAAATGTTGTTCCAAAACGAAACCACTAGGCACAGAATAAAAGTACAAATGAGGCCTCCACAGATGCAATCAATATGCCAAGTGGTGTTTCACTGGTATTAATTTCTGGTCCAGAAAATGCCTTCCTATGATTGTTCAGCCCAAATGTCCTCAATAAAATTGTCCTTAGGCAAAGAGCTCTTTGTGTTTATATGCAGGCCGAAATGCGTCAGGTCAAGCCTTTGTGTGTTAGAATTTGGTATTTGTACATGAGGTGTGATTAGGCCTTCTTCAAAGGTCAAAAACAGTGAGGAACATATTGGCTAATGTAATAGTACAGTACAATCATACAGATACAAAATATAAATACAAAAAGGACCAGAAAAATGTTGTTCCAAAACGAAACCACTAGGCACAGAATAAAAGTACAAATGAGGCCTCCACAGATGCAATCAATATGCCAAGTGGTGTTTCACTGGTATTAATTTCTGGTCCAGAAAATGCCTTCCTATGATTGTTCAGCCCAAATGTCCTCAATAAAATTGTCCTTAGGCAAAGAGCTCTTTGTGTTTATATGCAGGCCGAAACGCGTCGGGTCAAGTCCATTAGCCTTTGTGTGTTAGAATTTGGTTTTTGTACATGAGGTGTGATTGGGCCCTTATATATATTTTAATTTTATGTTAATAAATACATGTATCTTTTTATATACTATAGATATATTAAGCTTTTGTTCTTGGCCCTCTTTTCCAATTGATTAACGTTTTCAGGTTCTGGACTATGGGGAACCTCCACATTCAGAGGCACTAAATTTCTGAATCCCAGAGCCAGGAGGCAACATCGGGGAAAGGCCTCACCCTCTATGCCTTGGTTGGCCACTGTGTGAGACTAGATGGGCTATTGAAGAAGAACATAAGAAAAGGGCCAGCTCGACAAATGGGCTAAGATTTGGAAATCATTTAAAGTAATGAGAGCATCGAATTATAGAGAAAATATCTTTAAAATCTTCCAGTCCAACACTCCGTCACACAGTGGGCAAAAATACCAGGTGCCATCAGGAAGTCCAGCAGTGGGGCCAGGACACTAGGAGCCCTCCCACTGTCTCTCCCCACCCCCACCCAAGCACCAAGAAGACAGAGCATCACTTTCCCCAGAGCCCCTATCTATACCTCGTGGCTAAGAGCCATTGATTTATACCCCGCCCTTCACTCAGCCTGGCCTGGGAGTTCCCCCTGAACTCCTGTGGAGGCGCCTCTCCCCCTCGCTGCTGTACGGCACGCCTTCCCAGAGAGCTGGGAAAGGCGTCCGCCATCGCTGTGCCGTAGACCCCGCCGATTCCCCACGTTATATTCTATGGGGCTGCTGCGGCACAACTCTAGAGAGAAGGAGCTGGAGGATGGGGAGCTTGGGGTGGGGCTTGTGGCCTCCTGGGTTGCCGGAGCAGTTCTCCGGCATGCTCCAGCCCCAAATGATCCCTGTATACAGCCCTGAAAACTGACTCAAACTTATGTACTATGAAAGAATATAAAAATGTTTGTAAGTCTGGAAAATGTAAAATAAAACTATAAAAAAAGAGAAAAGGGCCGGCTCGTTTGCTGTGAGGTCTAGATTTTGTTCTAGAGAAAAATCTCTTTCATTTCCAGGATCAATTTTATCTCCATATCCGTGGAGTAGCCATGGGCAGTCCAGTGGCTCTGTCAATCACCTGCTTATTTACAGCAGAGTTTGGAACACATGAGAATTACAATCCTGACATTAATCCATTTTGCAATCTGATTATAAAATATTTCAGGTTTGTGGATGATATGTTTCTTAATTTTTAAAGGAGAGAAGTTTGCTGATTTTGTTGAATGGTAGACTAATAGGCATATCACTATTGAATTCTCTGGCACTCGGGATTTAGTAACTATGACTTTTTTGGATACAATAGTTTATAAAAATGTTAACAATAGTGCGGAAATTAGTAGTTTTAAAAAGGAAACAGATCAAAATGCACTATTGCATTATACTTCACACCATCCTATAGGTTTATAATATAACCTTCCATTTAGCCAATTATTAAGAATAAAAAGAAATTCATCTTCAAGAGGAGATTATTTGAACGATAGTTGGAGGTTAAAAGAAAAATTCATTCAAAGAGGATACCCTAAAATAGTAGTTGAAAGAGCCAGCCAAAGGGCTAAGAATATTGAGAGAATAACTTTATTATAACAACAGAATAAAGAAGTAGATCAGATAAATAGAATTACAGAGGCTCTTAAAGATATCTCAAAGACTTATAAAGTCAAGAAAATAATCAGATCCCACTGGCATCTGTTAGAAGAGATACCTGTTTTCCACGACCACCCGCCACAGGGCTCCAGAGAACTAGAAACTCACAAGATATGTTAGGGCAGCGGTGTCAAACATGCGGCCCAGGGGCCAGAGGAGGCCGCCGGAGGGCTTCTATTAGGCCCGCAGTGGAACTGGCTGTCTTCTGCTTCTTCTTCCAGTTCTGCTGCTGCTGCGTCATCGTAGGTTTGCAGCTTTGTCCCACTCCGGGGGACGCGGGCCCGGAGGACTGGATCACAGGACCCCCACCGAGCCTTCCAAGACCCCCTCCGCCTGCCTTACCACCGAGAGAAGGACCCAACCTTCCAGCGTGGGAGACGGGAGCAGCAACCGCACTCGACGAACGCCGCACCGGCAGGGCCAGGAGGCGAGATCGGGGCCCGCAGAACAGCCGCCACGACGAGGAGCAAGGAGGCAGGGCCGACGAGCCAGGAACAAGCTCCGAAAGGCATGAAATGAAATGAGTTCACAACCGGGTACTCATTATGTTGGACTATGTGTACTTTTTTGCAATATAAGTGAGAATGTTGGACAAATTCTTGCTATTTTGTAAAGTTTTAGAAAAGCAATGTAAATCTTATAAATGTTGTTCATATCACAGGGTTTGCTTGTGGTTTTTTCCCCCCGGAGGCTCATACGAAGCTTTCTTTGATACTGTTATCTTTAAGTGGATTGAAGATGCTCTGATTAGCAACAGCAGGGATCTGAAACCTTTTGGTTTTAAGGTAATTGTAGGCTTCAGGCTAGGAGCTGCAGTGGCTCAAGTGGTTAAGACGCTGAACTGCAGGCTGTGGAAGGTCGGTAGTTCAGCAGTTCCAGACCCGAGTGCCGCATGACAGAGCGAGCTCCCATCTCTCATTCCAGCTCCTGCCAACCTAGCAGTTCGAAAGCAGGAAATTGCAAGTAGATAAATAGGTACCACTTCAGTGGGAAGGAAACAGCTTTCCGTACACCTTGGTGTTTAGTCATGCCAGCCACATGACCACGGAAACGTCTTCGGATTCATACCCCATGACCCTTCACTACCCAGAGGAGTCTCGGAGCGGCTGACAAACTCCTTTCCCTTCCCCTCCCCACAACAGACGCCCCCTGTGAGGTAGGCGGGGCTGAAAGAGCTCTTGACAGAAACTGCTCTCTTTCAAGAACAGCTCTTGTCAGAACTACAGCTTGCCCAAGGTCATCCAGCAGCTGCGAGTGGAGGAGTGGGTGAATCAAACAGAAGGCGGCCAGACCTCCAGGGGTTTCCCGAGCAGGAGGTGGCAACCCTCCCCCCAGCAGGGCAGGCTCAGCCACAGCAGTCCCCTCGGGCAGGGGGAGGGAGCGGGCTCGCCGGCCCGGCTGCATTCGAGGGCGGCGGCGTCGCGGACTCGGGGGACGCCTGGCTGAAGTCCGCCCCCGGCCGTCCGGGCGTGCAGACGGGAGGAAGGCGGAGGCTTCGCAGTTCCCTCGTTCCTCTGCAGCGCGGGGAGGGTTAAAGCGAGCGAGCTGCCTTGGCTGGAGAGGCCGAGCGAGGGGGGGGGAGAGGAAAAGGTGGGAGGGGGAAGGGGGCTTTGCTGTTGCATGCCCCCCCCCCCCAAAGAGGAGAGGATGAGCTGCAAGATCTGCAAGAGCAGGGAGAAGAGCCGTGCAGCCGGGTCCCGGGCAGGTTTACTCGCAAGTAAGTCATATGGGAGGGGGAGAGATGAGCTGCTCAGCCCTGCTGGGAGAAATGCGGCTGTCCTGCGCTTTCGACGGCTGTCGCGTTTGGGATTGAACCGTTTTAGGATGCAATAATAAGAGGTATTTTTGAAATCGTGCCTGTTCCACGTAGGCAAGGGTGGGGGGGGGGCCTTCCTCTGCTGCCCTTCCTCGGCCCAGCGGACACCCCCTGCCCTCCTGTCGAGGGGCCTGTCTGTCTGGGGGCGGCGGAAGGAGGCATCGGGGAGGCTGTGGGTCGCACTGGGTCAAATCCTTCCTTAAGGAGCAGACCCAAAGAATGGTCACTGGCGATCAGTTCTCCGCCCGGGACCCACAAGGTGCAATCCTCCCCCCCCCCCCCACGCCCGCAGC